ATGTGTGTTTAAAAGTATGTATATTTATATGTTTATTACTGACTATTGAATTAACGTATGGACTGCTTCCGGTGCAGATAACACAGGGAGCCCAACCMRTTTTCCACAAATGTYCTCATTTAGCTTACATAGACCAAATTCAAAACTCGCAGATTGCAGATTTGGCGACTAAGAAGAAAAATGGCTTGTATTTCTATAACTCGGGCCGTTCCACAAGTCAGTTCTGTGGCAGTGAGATGAGGGTGCCACTTTTGTGTATTTTTGCGATGCCATATTGAATTGAGTCGGCCGAGAGGACCCTGGGACGAGATTGATAAACGAACTCCAGCAACGCCTGGCAGTATTTGGCTTTTATAACTTTTTAAAAAAAATTGAAGAGTTTAAGCCTATTATTCTTCGATTTAGCAAAGATTTGTGATTCTCAAGGAGGTTTTACTTAACCGATATGAAGGTATTCATTGATTAAAGTTTTTTGTAAACATTTTCTGTACGATATCATTGTTAAAAGCTTGGAAAATCGAAATCAATTTAAGCTTATGATTTTTTTCTTCTTTCAGATATTTGTGTTTATCAAACAGAAACATGCATGTAACTTAACACAGTTGTCGTAAACCTTTGAAATCATTTTTATTATATTAAGGAAGAACTTCGAGAAAGTGTGGTGTAGTTCATAAGATTTGTTGAGAATTTTGTTTTGTYTGTACGTCTGTTTTCAAAAAGGAAAGAAGAAGTAAAAAAGTCACTACAAGGATCGAAAACAGACATGAACCAAGTAAACTCCACTCCAGATGAAAGATTACAAAACCTCACTATAAACTTCAAAACTGGTGAAAACAATTCCACTAATAATGAAGCACTTAGTGATGATGTGAATCCAGACTYTGTTTCAAGTGTTGAAAAGAAGGGTGATAGCGATATGCCTTTTTCAAGTAATAGAAATTTAATGGACTTGCCACCGGAGCTTATTCTGCTYATTTTTTCATATCTGGATGCAAGGTTTACTTTGAAAGTACTTTGTCAAGTTTGTAAGTTTTTTAATCAGTTATTATCACCGGARGCAACTTGGAAGACACGGTTTGGGTTGAGGTGGCCAAAGAGGAACAGAAAAGAAGATTATGATTATGTGACAAGGTATAATTGAAGTCGGGATTCATGATAACACTTGAAA